GATCCAGTCTATCTACATGACCTTTCAAGTCCAACAATCGAATCATGCTGTGAATCATTTCAGTAGTCCTTGGCATCATATTGTGAACTTCAAATACAAGGGAGATTTAGACACTCCCCGACTGGCTTAGTGGACTCAGACTGCATGGCGCTTGTTCTGGATATTTTCAATTTGAACTAACTTTCGTGAGAAGATGGGCAAATGTGTCATTAAAATGCTCATTTGCAAAGACCAGATCTGGATGCTCAAAGTTTAACTTAGTAAGCGCATCAAACCATTTCTGACTTGAATTGGCTTGACTGGAATATTCTGCTCACGACATTCGTCATTACTGGTCAGGTGTACACTTGTAGACAGCGATGAACCAAGTTGACGCTTTGTAATTTTGTATTGTCACAGGCGAGCCTCCTGTTGTAGATACAGGAGAATAAAATCAAAAGTATGCCCGTTGTTTTATTTCTTTCACACGACCAGGGAACACTAAAAAGTAACATTACCTGAATTGTTTCTCTTGGAGATTTGAGCTAATCTAAATTGAAATCGTGAGTGAGTCATCGCTGTGTTCAATTGGTCTCGTGTGTTTGACACGAAAACTTGGATGAATAAAATAGCAATTTTTCCGGATTTTCTCTCCTGATAAAAAACTACAAAGCTCGCTCAAAATCGATTCCCTTTTATCAAACAAGTTTTCTCGTAAACACTACACAAAAGCTTTCACTAGCATGCTCCATGGGTGGTATGATTAGATAAACAATTTGAAGTTAGACGGTGGTCCACATCACGAAATTCTCTTGTTCCCATGGCGACTTGGCAAATGCTAAACAACTATTTGGGTAGTATATGGATGGCAAATTTATCTTTGTATAAGGGTGATAAATGGTTTTGGATTAGAAAGGTATCATTGTTCTAAACAGCTATCTGAGCCAAGGGAATACAGGAGCAGAGTCCTAACAACTAGCAGTGGTTTTTTATAAAATATAAAGTGTATATTACATTATTCACAATGGACCTGATAAAGGGAAACACCGTTCCTCACCAGCTCCATTGAGTGGAGATCACAATCGTTCAAGGTTTTGTTCAAAATGTATGTCCAGACTAAGGCGGACACGTATGGTTTCACTGAGTCGCTGATCACAAAATATGTCAGTCTGTGATAAACAGATAAAAGATTGAATTCCAGAAGTTATAGACTGTTTAAATAGTTCATTCGTTAGCTTCATCTGAATCTATTTACGTGTTTATTTGACGCATGACACAGTAGTTATCTTCCGAGAACCACCCGTGACTGGTTTATGGAAGTTAATATTTGAAAAACCGAGAGCGAATAAGATGATTGAATGGTCAAAATATTTCACGCTCATTATAGTAAAAAAGGCGAATTAACAAGTATCAGCCATAAACGAATCCTTAAATTAGTCTAACTTGAACTGCGTATCACGAAATTCATAGATTACTCAATATGGTAACAGGACACGCCACCGAATATATCCCACAATGACAGGAGAAAGCAAGCATAAGGCAACCAAACGCCTCATAGTTGAACTTGTATTAGTTAATGTTGGAGTGCTGCATAGCTGAAGGTCGGGAAAAAAACGGGCTTTGTTGGGGCGATTACACATACGGCCAAATTGTCAATGTTTGGAGATAATTCTTAATCTGAATTCGATCGTACCAGACTATTCACCAACTGGAAATGCGATATGCGAGTTTGTCTGGCTTTGTTAAATAGGGTAGTTTCCGAAAAAAAGTCTGTTCTTTATTGAATTGGACAGAAACGTGAGATGTTCGGATGCTGCGCCGTCTCACTGGGTACATAGAAAGTGATACCAGATGCCCTGAGTGTATTTCGATTAAAATGCAAAAACACTAGCCGGTTTTTTTCAAACTCACAGGTTTAATTGGGCAGTATTAGACAGAGAGTATGGTTCCACATGCTCGCCGTCTAAGACAGTGACTATAACACCCACATGACTTTAGGAAATAGGACCTGCCTAAATGCAATGGATGCCAATATTTGAATCATGAAATTGTTACCCGTGATTCCCTCGGGAAAATCAACTCTTACTGTTAATTTTGTGTAGTCTAACCTACTTTGGTCGGCCACTGTATCTTGTACATTTTCTTCAGGGGTGTAAATCATTAGCCTGCAGAATAGTATGGGATAAGATATGACTGAGTAAGCACTAAGTAAATTATACGACAAAACTTGAATTTTTGACTGAGCTTCCGTTTTCTAATCGGAGGCAATCTATCCTGGAACGTTAAGTCACACTGCATAACTGTTTTATCGACATTGGGAATCGTCAACGCTACGTGTCTCACGGGACTCAAAAGTGCTTCGAACCCATGGCCCTCCGGCTACTAGCTTTAGGCCTAACAGTGGGCAGCTGATCGAAAATGCTCCCCTCATCGTCATTCGAAGGGCCAGTTAACATGTGACGCGCGATATGAATTCCGCCACAGAAGAATAAGCAATGGCTTATTCCGTTAGTGAGAGTTGATTGTTCAGCTAGTCTGTCCCTCGTGATCCACAGCTTTAGCCTTCAATTACTAGCCTGCGGGTTTAAATCATCCTGTAGATTCGTGAGATGAGCACTGCTGATAACCCGCAGCAAGCTTGAAACTGCGATGCAACGCTTCACGATGTTTCAGCATCGGACAAAATTTCTGTAAGAAAAATTCTAAATCTTCTCAAACTCTAAACATAAAGAGAATTGTGAAAGCATTCCATGCATACCAGTGGGCTGCAAACTCGTAATAAATCTTGGACAAGAGGCTGGATGTCGTGTGGAATCTCACATCTTCCGGAAGCTTTTTCGCCTTAGTTTAGAAACATGGTCTTATAACACTTGGATCTAGTGAAGTACATCTGACATTTTTGCGAGAGAGCGTATGCTTCATTGGCGATATCGAATACAGGCAGTAAACAAGCAGATGTTGCGCAAGCAGGCAAGTTGATCGAAACAAAACACTTACTGGAAGTTTAGGAGTCTAAATTTAAGACAGCATAGATTTTTGTGAATCCTAGGGGAAAAAGTGGACAGTGGACAGCCTTCCTGCCACAGTCGTGCTGTTCTTATTTAGTCATGAGATATGATCATTTTTGGGAGAAGGCAAAAGGTGCTGAATATATATGTAACTTCCGGAAACACACCGCAGTTGCTTCCATGTAACACAATGAAACAGACAAACACAGAAATGTTACAGCCAAAAAAACGAGAGAGAGAGAGGCGTTACCGGTTAGCGCCATCCAAAATATATGACAGGGTTGACAGTATGTGCCGGGAAAACCCGTACATTTTTTCCGGAATGTCCCCGGAAATAAGAGTGTGGTATTTGATCGATTTCAATAAGTGATTATCTTGATGAGTAGAAAATTCAAGTGAATAAAGGAGATGGCGCCTGACCGTCTCAGTGAAGCAGATAAAACTGCATTCCATAACATACGGCTACCAAAGTTCCTCTTCATTGGGGCATCTCAAACAGACATCAAACTGTAAGTCGTGTGATTCCGTAGCGGCTAGGTGCACGTAAATGATTTCGCTGTTTCCGCATGAGGAACAGATTGAGGATGAATGTCCAAGTGATCCTTAAGCTTCGAGAAGCAGAGGTTGTCTTTCTAAGTTGGATCCAATTTGAAGCTCACGGTCTGATAAGTACGGGCAGTTTAGTTTGAAACCTGACCGGATATTTGTAGGCACCCCAGATGATTAAATTTACCACTAATCATGATTGGTCACATCCCTGAGCATACCACACAATTGCGTACAGTGAGCAACTTTGACGGCATACCGCTTCACTACGTCAATCTCTGTGCAGAGAAAACCACTCCATAGAGAAAATCTTTGTGAGNGAGGGAAAGAGTAAAGTTTGTTCTCATATCGATTAAAACATCAAGAAGTACCTTGAAACTAGACAAAATCACATGTATAGTTAGGCATGTTCATCGGCACAGGATTAAAAACGAGACAGCGTACAACTGGTTGCGTCGTAGTCAAACTCAGCCAAGGAAACAGAAAAAAGTTGTAGGTTAGTACAATCTCGTGACTTCTTTTGAATTCGTTTTTCAACCGGTGAATCATTTATCTCTGAAATGTACCTCGGAAAACACGTGAATTTTGGCAGGTTTGATAGACTATTTGAGCAATTACCGAATATGGTCTTTGCTTGTTCGTATCACGACATCCTTAACCCGCAACCTCTGGGCTAAGTGATCACCGATTCAACTCAGACATATCTGGTCACATTGCTTCCAAGGACCTATGAAGTTCTTGATCTTCATGGTGAATGACTGGTGCGGTTTCCACGAATATACTTATTTGGTTTTCGTCAGAGACCCAACTGAATCTCTAGCTTATGATATTCTTCAACTGAATGTGCTATACAAAGGCCTCTCCATGTTTCAGTTAGTTACGATATTCAAGATATCGCAGTATATTTTCTCAAAGGTTTCTACTTACAAATTTTCCGCGACCGGTTTTGCCCTTCATGGGGCTTAACAGGTGCACCAGTTTTGCTCATTGATTTTGTAGAATTATTCTAGTGGATCCATACCAGAAATCACTGGAGTTGGGTTTCGCTCCTATTACGGCTTGTCAGGGGTGAATATCGTTGACCTTACCGGGGTGCGAACTCCCGACTTCCTAGTCAGGCAGCACCGCGGACGTTTTGAAATCCTACAGATAGTTGTGGGTGGTTGCGCGACCCTGTGTTTCAGCACAATTATTCTGGTGCGTTCACACCAGAGGAAAGTACTGGATTTGGGTTTCGCTTGTAGTAGAACTCATCAGCAGTGTTTGTCTCTGGTCGTGCCGACGGTTGAAACGGTGAAATTTCCGGACCAATTCCCATTGTTAAAACGCAGATTTTTAAAAAATAAATGTCTCATCTATTCGGAGACAACTGTTGTTTCCGTTTCACTTGCATGGTGCTACATTCTCTTCTTGCAACTGTTATTTTCCTTGCGACATTTTATCGAGTATTCCGGTACTTGTTTTCAGGTTTGCAAAAGGCGACCACCTATCGTGTCGCAGTAAGTTCCAGAAATGAAGTGTTCGGATCAACGCGGTTTACACAATACTTGTTGGCTTCAACCAGAGGTAAGATCAGAAGTCTACCAAAAGCAAATTAGCCGATTGGTTAGCAAAATTTGGCTTTCAACTCATTGATCAGAACATTGCTAGTTGTTTCGCAAAACATTTGGATGGGCATCTCCGGTCTGTGAGTATGGAGGAATGCCGAATTGGACGTCATTAAAGATGCTTTTTAGTTGAACTAGTTGGGTACATTATCAGATCAACAGCAAAACGAGTAGATTACAGTACTGATGCTTAGAATTTCCTATTCAGTACCAATGAGTTTGAAGAGAGTTTGTTGCTTGTAAAATATTTAGTCGAGTTGATTTCCGGTTGAGGGACAACGGTAAGTGCAGAGGTTTTTCACAACTCACAGTGACCTATGTTAAGGGCACAATGATCGGAACGAGTGATAGTCACAGAACAAATCAAGCAAACCGCAATGATATGATAATGACAAAACGCGATATAACTAGTATATTTTTCATTTTGCTACCCAGTACTGACAAGCATTCGAATAGTGGTCCTCACTAAATAGGGATGTAGCAACTCGCTCCTACATCGATCTTATTGACAAGGCTACAGTAGATGTATGCAGAATCAGACAGAAGAATTATGTCGCCCATTCAGTGTTTGGATTTTGTTGAACCATGTGAAGCTCTCAAGGTAGGGCTTTCGAGGTGGGTAGATTTAATGAGTTGCGGTTGGTTGGCACATCTTTTTGGGACAAATCGGCTTTACCCACCGCTGTTTTATTGCTCGCCATGCCACTATCTCGAAATTACCGCCTCCGAAATTACTTCCAGATAGAATCGATGAAATGACTGTACCACCTGTTTTTAATATCCCGAATTTTTAGATTGTGAAGCTGTATAAAATATTCCCTTGCTGCATGTGTGCTTGGAGGTAGAAATAGTTGTCTTCTGAACGCCGGTATAAATTTAGCCTGATGATCTTCAGTGGTCTTCGCAGGCCGCTTAGAGGGCGTGGACAAATTCTTGGTCTTCGGCGACAGATAGATGCCCGTTTTTTACAGATTGTCGGAAAATCAGTGATGAATCGCTTTAGAGTGTATTTAACGAATGTGCATTCATTTACAAGCGCCAAAATAACCGACATTTTTACCACATTTCAATAAAGCGTATGATCCAATTCCTGACAAAGAGGCCATGCACGATGAGGCCCGCGCAAAATCCCGAATTGGTGTTGGTGGAGGTCATTGGGACATCCAACACCAAAATGAAAACCGAAATGGTTTTGTCGGGGAAAGAGGCGGAAGTGAACCCGGTGCTATTCAACGTGGACTGGTTGGGCAAACCAGTGGTGATAAAGCAACGCTGACAATTGTAATGGCTTCGAGTTTCGGCGCTATTGTGTTGATCGCCAATTTATTGATCATCCTACTTCTGGCCCACAGAAAGCGGAAGAAATCAGGTCTACAACAAAAATCTTCGAGTAAGTAAATCATCCTCCTGATACTCATACAGAGATGCGCTTGGTAACTCATATCCAAAAAGATTACCTTTCGCTGAAACAAACTACTAGCTGTTCAGTGATAGTCGGCCGGGAATTCTTACTTTCTGAAAGAATACATTTAACCCAAACAAAATCTGGAATTAAAAGTCCATTAGTTGTGTTAATTACATCCTATCGTGGAATAGAAACCGGAAGATGAACCTTACAAACAAATCTGGTCAAAGATTGTGTAGCCACCACGGGACAGTTTCTAGAGACGAAACTTTTTCCTACTGTAAGCAACATGTTTATGAAGTGTAACCAGTGTGATTATCCAAAAAATTTTCACTGAGGCTTGATGAAGTACATTGAAGAAGCATTGAAGACAAAATTAAGTGAATGATATAAATAGGGATCCAGACCTTCGTAAGGAGTGAAAGTCTTACAATCCCAAGCAACCCTATAAACACCTAGCCAATTTCTGGTTCACGAGAACGTGCAAAAAGACAATTTCATAATGATCAGTGATAGATGTTTCAAAAATTAGAGAATTCTGAGGCCTATTCTGCTGAAGATTGTGAAAAAGATTATTTTATTCACAGCGTTAACAATCGGGTTCTAAGTAATTTTCCCGCTGATTGGTTATGGCATACATTCCTTCTCAAATCCGTCCATGATCGAATGCTTACAACCATGGTATTTTTCAATTTCGACTTATTTCTGTCACTTGCGGACGTTGCTTTTGCCCTGAAAAGCCGAAACGGGTGTTTTCAATGTCAGAATTTCTGCCATGAAAGGACTACACCCCAGTTTTGTCAGAGAACAGTTTCTCTTCTTTGGGCAGTGACTGCTTCTCAGAAAATAAATTCTTCTGAATTTTTTTAAAAAGAAACAGATATATTAGTGAATATAGTCACAGGGTTACCCAATTGTTTCAACTGTTTTCGAGAAGTCAGCGTCACATTAATTCATGCACATCCTTCTATACTCTAAAAAGGTCAGTTTTATAATCAGTGGTGCCGCGCGCCCCTAAGTGGCCATATTTTTAACTTGCATTGTGGTGGCAACGTTTCTCAGTTGCTTTCCCAAATATTACAACTTCACGAACCCTGAAAATTTTATAATTATCAAACTGCAGCATGGAGAGTTGTAATAATATTTTGTGCGACAAAAAGTTGATTTCGACCAGTTTGCAATATTATCGACACAAATTACTCAATCCGGTTACAGAAAAACGTAGGGCGAGCTCGGGCGTTCAGATGTTTGGCGTCAAAAGTTTGCCACAACGGTGACTGAGAGTTTAGTCGTTTAGAAATCAGCCTACCCACGAAAATAATGTGTCGTCCTTTATCTCGAAGGAGTGCAATGTCAACGACAGGTGAGCGTGCTGACAAAATATACGTTTCGATTCAGCAGTTTGGTTAACCTAAAACCATCTGTCTGAGATCCGCGGTGAAAAAAAAACTAATGTGTGTGTCAGGTCTTGGGATTTAACTATACGTTCAAGCTGTCTGTGATAGACCAAGGCCACCAAGTGACTTCTTGTTGACTTGTTTAATTCCATACGTTGTTCTTCATTCCTGTGAACTAATTCATGACATTCCTTGGATAATTACTTCATAATCTGACCCAAATTTTACGGGAAACTAACAACTACTTCTAAATCCTCACAATCCGTGAGAAGCTGTGCAGATGAAAATGGAATACAGTGCGGAGAAGCGCAACCACATTGCTATTTTGCACCAGATTAAGCCACATTACGTTGTAGCTAAAGTCCCTACAAGTTGGAGTGACCGAAATGGGCAGATCATGCGATTCGAATACTTGTATTGCATTGAATGGTTGTAGCTGCTGTTTGCAACGCGGGTATTTGGATGGGACTCTAGTCTTCGTCAGAAACCGATTACAAGCAGAGTGTTTTTGGTACAAACAACAAGGGTGTATCTTGAAACTGAAAATTGACGCAAATTATCAAACCCCTATTCTTAGGCGCTTTGGTTTTCACGAGCCAGAACGACCGGATCCACTTATATGGGCGTCACGGAATTGCTCGGTCCGTTCTACGAAACACTGTTTAGGCCCATTAGAGTTTAAATTCTGAGCAACATTAATTTGCAGACTAGAAATGTGTCTGATGCAAACGAACGACCCGTCGGTTTACTGAGACCAAAATTTCTTCTGATATAAAAATCTTTCAAAAGGAATACGTACAAGACCTCGTAATATGGACGGCCTCCGTTAACTGATGAAAAATATTTTGTTTGGATGAACAATCTTCAGCAAACACACTCTGCACATCTATAAAAGTGGCGTGTTAAAAACTCATTGGAATACACCCTCCATTTATCAACTTTTTCGATTTATTTCTATCCTCTCGTTATTGCTTTTATAATGTCATCGCATCTTTGGATATACACATGGTAACACAACGTACGAAGGCTTCAAGATACTTGTCAGGGACCAATCCTATAAAGGTCGTCAGCCTAATGTAAATTCGCTCTTATCCACTGTAAAGGTCCAGTACAGGGTGTCTGACTGAGACAAAGCATCTGAATGGTTTTCACTTGTGATATCCTGTCAAAAACCTAGAGCAGTGATTGTAACCTACTAAGAACCGCGAGACACCGTTCGCTAAACTGCCGACTGAAGACTCTGCCAGTGTAATTGTTCGCTCGAACGATCAACTTTGATTGGGATAGGTTTATAGGTTCTTACATCGTTAATGCGCTGAGCCATCTTTTCATTTTTTTGTCCTATATCGATCAATGTACTGCCGAAAATAGTGAAGTAACTGGTCGAAAATCATCACTTTGTTGTTGTTAGTTCAAGCCTGTTGTGCAGACTCTGTACTCATTCGCTCGTTATACCTACAAACATACTGTTGTACAAATAATTGTATTTGTCAAAATATGTGCAATATGGGTTCAAGCAGAGCACAAGATTGACGGAAACTTGAGGACTGCGCCAACTTGATGAGTCCCCAGAAGGGCGAAACCGGTTGTGGGCTGTCGAAGAGCTTTCAACAACCTTGTGAGTAGTTTATTACTCCCATACAGTGTATCACGAAATCTTCAGAATCGCACATTCAGTTGCTTGAGAACACGACTAACGAGAGATTTAGCTGAATACGTAGTAAGTGGCCCGTCAAAACCAAATCAATATGCAAACGAGTGTATTTGTCGATTTGAAAACTACTTTATCTCTGAAAACAAACCAGGATGGCGCATCACACGTCTGATCTGGTCACTGTTTCGAAGAACTTAAACCCAATGAGTCTGCCTACTCACCAAGTGGCAAAAGCGGGCATAAACTCCATACCATGAAATAATATGCTGTGCAATACTGTACAATACATTGTTTTCGCAGCCACATTTGGTTATATCCCGCATATTCAACTTACCACACAAGTTATTGCAACAAGACCACCCATGGTCAACTAAAGTGCAATATACTGGGTGGTTTAGATCTGCCTTGGGGTGAAAATTGTGTTTCACTTTGCTGTGTGATATTTGACCACCAAATAAGTGTGAATCGGTCTTGTTGAGCATCCGCATTATGGGGCGCGGAAGGTGAGGGGATTGCAGAATTCTCTGTGTCCTGAATCTACCTTCGTTTTGTGAATTACAATTCCGGATGTGCTCATCTGAGTTTAAAAGGCAGCTGTCTGTTGAGACGCGTTCTATTATCGATTGGACTCAGCTGGACATTTCGTCTCTGAGATTTGGATAAGCATTTCCCAGGTTTGGGGTATTGGAAGGTAGGACAGGCGAAGGCAGCGAAATTTATTTTTGATCTAACAAAATACTGATTATGTGATGACGCCAGCGGACCGGATTTATTCTGTAGTCGTACAAGACAAAGTCCATGTGTTTATGTATATTCTTTGCCGTCGACGGACAAACTAAAATTGTCAAAGACCTAGTGATCCACACCCGTGCGCCAGTAAGCATTGGGGCGTCCCCTGGTTCATGACTTCGTTTTTGGCCAATAAGTTTACGGGGCTCCTTGACCTTGAAAATGCACATCACGCCTGAACGAATTCAAAGTAAAGTGCAAACTAGACAGAACGATACAGAAGTAAAAACGTACACTGACCTGCGACGTGTTCTCAATGAGCCGGGTTAAACCTCAGCCGGGAAAATAAATTTTCCATCGAGTTCCAATCGTGAAAGTGAGGTTTTATGTCTGTTGTTATTTTCAAATCTGACTTGTTCAATCCTATGGATGTGTGTGGGGAATGAAAATCATTTAATGAAACGGAGAGTAGTTCGGTTCTATGTAACACAGGGGAATTCTGGCATTTTTGACTAAGAATATTCTAACTTATATGTGATTGAGAACGAAGAAGGTAGCGAACAAAGCTTGTTTTCTGTGATTGTTCTTCTTGGCTAATACATCACACGCGATTGCATCACATTTGGCGGAAACCAGTCATGTCATAGACAAGGAGCAAGCCTTCACCATCATATACCGGGTATCTGTGAACCGATCACGATCCAGGCTACTATCAGTCGCAGAGGCCGTTGGAATCCGACTGCTGGATCCGCAACTTTGCATCCAAAAGGAGCTTGTGCGACCTCTGAACTTGAACTGACCTACGAAACATCCGGTCCCACAAGTTTGTCTGACATTGACGTCACTTACCTGATTCCGTGACTAATTGACCTATCCCTCATCTAACCCCGTTTCTTTGATTTCTTTTTATTTGAAGTGCATATATCACCGATCATAACCTTTTCCACGATGATTTCTGCTACCATATAAATTTGTGATGTATTAGCCAAGGGAAACCATAAAAAAGGCTTTGTTGGCTACCTTTCTTGTTCTCACGACTACCACGGGTATATTCAGCAACTTGATATGTGGTTGCTCGCTGAGTCCCCCACCGTAAATCTAGGGGTTTAAGCCCTGTAAGCCAACTCTTTTGAGTTATCGCTTATAGAAAAAGGTAAACCGTGTCAATTTACGGCAATAACATCGTTTCTATCCTACATGGTATGGTTCACGTCCGTGTTAGACAACTCGGGGTAGGTTCGTCAAACTCAATTAAGACGCTGTGCTCATAATGAAGACACAAAATCGACCTAAATCGCAGTCAACAAAATTCCTGTGAGGTATAATTAACATCGCTTTTCCCTGCCAAAATGAGGAGTCACTGGCCGCTTGTGAGTGCTTTCATCCAGCGTTTTGGTGTATGTTCCAACTATCGAATTGTTTACCACTTGACTTCACTTACCAGTTACGGTTTTCCCGGGCAACGAACTGATGCAACTGTGTCCATCGGGGCTGAGTTTCAATGACATAAACGGTGAACAGCGTCACATGTATGCCGCTTATGGAGAAGGAGCCAGTCTCAGTGAAGACGTCCTGGTGCAAAATCGATCGACAGACCAAGTGAGTAATGCTATTTCTGGTATTACCCAATGATTATGTGATTATCTGTGCTCGGTAGAAGGATAACATAAGCGAAAGTCACATAATGCAGGCTTGCTTGTACCAACTGGTATTTTAATCTTTTATATTTACCTGTCTCTGACAAATACGCTTTAACACTGTGCCTGTTTGTATCATTAACTTCCATATCCTACACTATTTGCTGCAAGTAAATATGATGCTTACCATCATACTCTAGTAGTGGAAAATTCCACACTAGCGACATCTGATGTGACCAGTTTAATGACGGACTATTAGCTATGGAATGCGTGGGAGCACACCAAAAAACGGCTCCAGATGGTTTGCATAATTAAAAGTTTTCAAAAGGTTGGACAGTCTGAGACCAGTTTGAAATCGAAGATCAAAAATTAGTTCAAAACCAACACCCTGGTCCTTTTTGGTTTAAGCAAAACGGGGTAGAAATTTGTGATCTTGGTGCTGTTTGAAAAATGGCCCAAATATTCCAGGGCATCGAAGAAACCTGCTAGCGTATTCATCAGGATTCAGCCTAATACGTATTCGGAAAGTTAATCCCCATCAAAAGTGCTTGACCATGGCAGGTTGCACGTATTGATTCATTCACATTCAATAGACTGGCGGAATAAAGTGCAATAAACTAGTAACAAGTATGACCTCGTCGACAGCTGTTATTGTCGGTGTGTTGTTAATCATCTGGGATGTACTTGAATGCGATCGATTTGAAATTCAAAAGCGACTCAGCTCATCAAAAAGCGGGCTTTTCGTAAAAGGCGCTTTGGCTTCGAGCGCAGTGAAACACGCAAGCCTTGTTTTTGGACAAAACAAATTAAATAGCATTCACATATTCAACAGACATGCCAAAATAATTCTTTGCAACTTGGGATAATAATTATGTCGTTATAAATATATCACTCAGTGGATGCTTCACGCAAGTAGGCGAGATGCACCGCTGCTACACTAAGTCGTGGTGGGCGAACGATCCGTGTCAGGAAACATGGAATGATAATGAGTCTGTCTTGTATGACGTACCTGGCATGAACAGTAAGACAGGCTCGACTCTGACAGCTGGCTGTTGAAGCGGGTACAGAAAGTCACAAGAAAGTTGCTGACTGAGAAATCGGAAATTATCATAACGTTTTCTAGCTCTAGCTTAAAACAGAAACTTCTTGAGACTCTACTATGCTTAGGAACGTGTTTCATCGATAGAAATAAAGCACTGATAAATCTGAGGGAATCTCACAAATTGAACAATCAGTCCGGGAGATTGCAATAATTACTGAATACTGGGAACGAGAATATGAAGACTCTGCCGGTCAATGTACATAGTGATGAGAGGGAATAAAAGCCTTGGCAAGCCGCAAAGCTGAGCGTGACCAGCTATCAAATGCATTCAGGAGTTTTTGTACCTGAACTATACGGTTGTAGATAAATCCCATTTGAACGAGAAAAAATAGGTATTTGTATTATCTTTGTGCACCTGATGGTAAAAAAAGAAAAAAAACTGCTGTCACTTAAGAAAGCCCTATTAGGCATCGTCGCAAACGAATTTTGAGTGATTTGGTCCATCAGGGTTCCCCCTGACCAGAAGTGCTTTTTCAGGCACTGTTGGGATAGTGAAGTTAAAGTTGGTTAGTACAGATGTGAATTCATTTTCTTCATTATAGCTAGGTGGTTGCTTAGCCACATACTAGCATTTAGCCGGTGTTCTGGTGGAAGGGGAGTTTTTCCAGCAAACCAGCAAACCCTGAGAACGTCAGCTCACCACGAGCGACCAGGGACCAAATTTAGGTGCCGCATTTTTTAACCTAGGCAGTGGGATCGTTGGATTCAGTGAACGTAAAGCCGCACAGTTGAGCAGACCAGTGCAACTTTGATCCTTTGGCGCAGTGTTGCAATAGGGCCCGCCAAACTCTACTTCAGCTTTTGAAACCGGGATAAACATGGACTGATAAGGCGAATGATCCCGGCTGGATCACTCTCATGAGCGCTCCAAAGTTTTCAGTATTTATTTCTGACCGCTGTCCTTTCCCTCCGCATCTGATGCAGATGCTTCCGACGAGGCCAAAAAATCAAAAATTGGAGTTGGTCCGTAGGGCTCTGCTAATGGGCAAAAGTATCGGGCTCACAGAAAGCAAAGATATCAGTGGTGGAATCAACTTTTCACTAGAACGATATCCAGTAAATTCTTTTTGCGACGTAAGAAGTTTTCTCGAAACTCGAAACTCGTGCCATGATTTACCATATAGTACACCTGCATAAGTACGTTAAAAATAAAGAGTTTTCAGGAAGTAACTAGAACAGTCCTGTAAGCAGCGAAGAGGTAAAATGTGATCTTGTGTATAATTCTTGCCAGCCAGGAAACATTTTGAAACCCCGTGTTCGCATTATTCTTTTCACTTTCACACAAGACTAGGGATATAAGGTTTTGAACGCCTAATTTGATTGCGCTTCCTGAGTACTAGTCAGGAATTTAGCAACTTTGTTGTCGGATGGATTGAAATGCGCACCACCAACATTTTCGTGTTCCAAAAAAACCTCCTGGATGGGCCACATCACAATTTTAGGGCATGAGGCGTCATTTCGACTTGATTTGACAACTATCTCAAGTTATTTTAATTGTTCTCATCGGTTTTCTTGGTTGCTATGGATTTGAGGGACCTAGTTGGAGCTGCAAAAATAATAAAACAATCTCGTATGTGTATGTCACGTGCGATAAAACAAAAATATCTGCCATAGTAGACGAAGGGGATTCAGTAAACTCGGACGAATGTGAAGTCGAAAAACAATGCATTCAATATATGAAACTGAAAAACTAACATTTTCATCATTGACTAAGGAATAGTACATTCATCTCATAAAGATTTTACACTGTGGGTAAGCAGTGCTGAGAGAAAGGCCTAATTGTGCAATGGCTTATAACCAGCAAGCTGGAGAGTGTCATCCTTGATGCGTCATGGAAAATTTGAACAGTACTTTTGTGCTATTTCTGATGGAGAAATCTCACCAGGTTTACAGTTCACTCGGGTTGCTAACACATTTCTGAACATCACAGACAGGATTCACACTATGTTCTTGCCGGTGTGCCTGGGCGCAATGATATAAACAGCCTGATGTAACGTGTCACGTTTACCAGTCCTAGAAATCTCAAACTCTAGCTTGGTGTTTCAGTCAGATTCACAAGAAAGCTAGAGGCGACCTTAAGAGTAATGCGAGCTGGTTATTTTAAAATACATAAAACAAAATTTCTAAAACGGGAACACAGACAATGTGAAGGCCCCACGAAGGTAGACGGTGGACATGAAAAATGTTGATCGAACTCTGTTTGGAAAGCCAGTTTTGCTCATGCGAGTTTACAGAAATATTGGATGTATCTTAGCCTGACAAACTTATGAAATGACGTGCTTTACTGGGTGTTGCAAACCTTATCTGAAATTAAAGATATCGGAACCCTCGTTATTTGAGCGTACCTCAGGTTTCCGTGTAGGAAACATGCAATCTCATACAGAAGATATATTGCACTCCCGCGGTTTGTCTGAGGGTCAAGCACAGATGTTTGTACTTTCGGAAATGCTCTCGGCGAGAAATCTTCCTGAATAAAAAATGTCGTCAAATGATTAGTTTTTCTCAAGGGGTTTCTCGTCACACCAAGGGAAAACTCAATCCGCCAAACATCGTTTAAAACGATTGATCCTCTGTTGTTGTTTTTTCACCAGAAACATATTTTGGTCCCCTGAAGGCATCAGTACTAAGTATTTTCAGTTTCTGGTTGCGGCGATGCACAAATTGTACACTTTCAAAACACTCTGATGCCGCTTCATTATGACATCTGTTAACGAGAAAAATATAGAACATTTATTTTCATGCCCACAATCATTTTTATTACTTCCACAGTTTTCTCAGTTTCATACAGGATTCAGTCCTTCCGCAGTCAATGGACGTACGATTGATAACTTCCACTTGGCTACTGGCCACCTCTCCTTTACCGGTTCACCTCATCCTAGTCTTCAAGCTATCAATCCGTTAAATGTTCATACTCCAACTCATCTGGAATTTGGTGGGCAATTGTCAAGCAATTTCACCGACCCTGAACTAAACGCACTAAGTTATTTGAACACAGATATGAGCCCGACGATAACAGACCGTCAGGGAAATCCCCTGTTCTCCATAAATCCCAGTATTTCTGAAAGTGCGCGTAACACCCAAGTCATGCCTGTATCTGAAAGACGCACGCCGATCAGTATTCGCGTGAATGCTGGTCTGGGAGCATATCCCAACATTGGGGCACAACGAATTGAATCTCCGAATTCGGGAGCAGCTTCAAGCATTTCTGCCGCTCGATCTGTGGTCTATCCGAACACAAACAGTCTGGAACGGAATGCTTATTTTTGCAACCCACATGCCAAACTGAGCCATCATCAGAACAACTCCCTGCTTGTTCGACAAGCAAGCTTTGGACAATATACTCCAAACGGAACATTTACGCGGAATCACTCCCCGTATGGTACACATCAGACGGCCTTGAGACAGAATGTGTCTAGCTTTACTCCAACCCACACTCTATTGAACTCTCGAACACGGACCAACTTGGGTATGGCAGCAAGCCTCTATGCCGATCGAGGAATGAGTCCGTCACATAATAGCCACATAGAAAGTCCAGGACAAAGTAAGTGGTTCATCACAGACAACAATCATTGTTAGATAAGGTGGCTTTGGAAAGCCTATTTAGATCAAACTAAAAGATAATCATTGCCAATTCTAAAACCGCCCTACACGTCATCACATTAAAGCTGAATTTTGTCATCTACGGTACTTTTTATACAATAAGTATAATTTAGGTGACACACGGTTTATTATACACAATATGAAGATTTCTGGCTGCTGCTTTCGAAGTAAGAAAAGGCGGTGGGAATAGCAACAGGGTGGTAACACGATATGATCACTGATTAGAATGATTGTATTGACACGTTCACAAACACCACATGCAATAGCCGATGAGCACATTAAATTGTGTAACCCAGCTAAAGATATACACATTTCGGATCAGTTCACATTGAACCTATCCTCCGCCGATACGTACCGGCCAGAGTCAGATACAGCAAAAAAGGAACAAATTTAGAAATTATAAAGAGAAGGATGTTGAATTCTCCCCGATTCGTTTGCTAAAATAACGATGGAGGATATTATTTGTGTTTTAATTGGCTGGAGCAGCATTAATTCCAATCGCCTCCATTGCATAGACTTCCTCGTTTTTGGCTGCAATTTTGGGGTTTGCGGGATAGGGATGAGCACATTAAATTGTGTAACCCAGCTAAAGATATACACATTTCGGATCAGTTCACATTGAACCTATCCTCCGCCGATACGTACCGGCCAGAGTCAGATACAGCAAAAAAGGAACAAATTTAGAAATTATAAAGAGAAGGATGTTTAATTCTCCCCGATTCGTTTGCTAAAATAACGATGGAGGATATTATTTGTGTTTTAATTGGCTGGAGCAGCATTAATTCCAATCGCCTCCATTGCATAGACTTCCTCGTTTTTGGCTGCAATTTTGGGGTTTTGCGGGATAGGTATTTTAGTTCATAGTCACACCACTGTCGTTTGAACGGCCGTGTTCCTGTTTTGGCGTGATTATTCCGGTGCGTCCACACCAAATGGAAGCACTGGACGCAAGTTTTGCTCTTATTAGAGCTCATCAGCAATCCGGGATTCGAACCCCGGACATCTGACATGCGAGTCGAGCGTGTAACCACTACTCCACCAACGCACGTTGGACGCATCAGAATTATCACGTCTGAACAGGCGAACGTGTTCACACTTGATCGATGTGATTGGTGTGCCCGACTCATCGAACGACGACCCAGTAACTGTCCTGGTTGTGACGATCGATTGACCCGCCAGCCAGTTAGTCGTTTTTGCTGTACCCGTACTCTTTTATTCAGTAAACAGAGAGACGCTTGTCGTTACGTTGATCATAGCGAGTACTTTATATGCGAGGAGACCCTGTTACCTGCGGACACTTTTGCACGTCAAGGCAGGATCCCATAGAATGACTTGGTATGATAACAGGGGTATTTTCGATCTACAAATCGGTCTACGAATCTGGGTAGCAATGCCACATTCAGCTCGCTTGAATCCAGCGTTTCTCCAACAAGGTCACTCTAGAAAACAGCGGCGAAATCTCAGTTTAACTAAGCAAGTAACATGGAAATTTATTTCGGGACGCTCACAGATTCCCTCTGTGCTTTGGGGCACATCCTAGTCAGCGTACACACAATTATGTCTACATGTACACTGGTCGCATCGGACTACCGACTATACTCAAGAATGCACCAAACGGAAGACGTCTTAGCTAGTCCGAGTGACGCAGCATTTCGGTGGCATTCATTTGATTGGAGCAAGCTTGAGAAAAGTTGCAGGTGCCATTCTTGTTCCACTGCACTGTGTTTGGATTTTGAAAGTTTCCATAAGATATTGCAAGGCAAAATTAATTACTCAGCATATGTCGTCATATGTTCCACGGTGGTATCTATTTTTGGGATTATGGAAAGGGACAAAGCAATATCATGCAACGTCCACTAAAGATGGACGAAACGAGGCCACTTCCTAACTGAGGGGGTATTTCGGTATAAATCTCTTTACATGATCAAGAAAGCAACAAGTAATGATTGAGCTGATAGGCTGGGATAATATTTGACTAGAGAAGAATACTCAATAAAGACCATTCAGCTACTGCTTCAAATGTTTTCGTTCTGAAATTTTATTTCGCTTCTCTTCAGATGATTTGATGCCTACGATGGGTACTTGTCAGCTTGTGCGGAGGGGATCCTATAATTCCGAAAAATCACGGAATATCTCACCACGCATGAACACCTCCGAGATGCTGGACGCGTACTTGCAAAGGTACAATGAACAGCTTGAAGCTGTAAGGGTAAGCTGTTGTCTAAATTTCGGTGTAATTTGCTTTGGAAATCTGAATATTGGATCGGAAATCTGGTGGGTCGTTTACGGTCTCCATCAACGAGATTCTCAATAATGAACTTGCTTGACATGGATGGGGAAAGATGTTCCAAGTGGATAGAGCACAGGTTTACAGACCGGAGGGTTCATGGTTTGGACTCGACGTCTGCCACTACATTTATCCTGTCTAGGCCTGGGTAACCTGGCAGTATCCCAGTCCTCGTGCAACCTTTGGATGGCATGGCAGTTAGGCACCAAAAGGGTGGTACAGCTGAAAGATGTTTCTTTTTATTTTTGACATGAAAGGTATATTTGATTGCCAACCACTTTTTCAAATGCAGTGCACAGAGTTATTAAAGTGGATATTGTTGATTTTAACGTTTGTACTACCGAAGAAAGTGCCGTAAAGATTGGCAAAGTAAGTGGGTCGATTGCAGCCCAACAAATGTTTTCAAATCTAATTTACAACCTAAGAATGACGAGTTATTTTGTACGCTTATATTGACCTGCAGCTTAAGTGATAGGAAACCTAGAGACTGGACATCTCTAAATATTGGGGATTACGCAGTACAAAATGGAATATTTGCAATTTTGTAACCCGCTCATTATTAATGAAAAGTCCCAATGAAATTTGCAAGGACCACTAGGAAATTGTGAGCTATTATCAGTAAATTTACTCAAAACTGAAAATAATCCATCATCCTGAGGTGAGGATATTCAGAACAAAAATAAAACATGATAGTTGTTGTTAGGAAAGTCTACAGTTAATACTACTGGATCTTCCGAATACGGTGCTTTCTCAAGATTTCACTTGCAGTGGACTAACATTATACGGAGATCGTTTAAGTGAAACAGACTTCTTTTCAAAGAAATTTGTTTTTGCGAAAGACCTATCTGGAACCACGCTGAATCTATCGTTTGTGATATTTCCAGGCAAATGAATGTGCTGCACCAGGCCGCCTCTTGTTTCAGTCGGCACGGTATTTGAGATACCGTGGCATGTTCAGTTGCCTGGATACATAACAAACGAGAGATTCGGTTGTGTTCCAGACGAACCTCCCGCAAAAATAAACTTGTTTGCAAATGAGTGTATTTCACTAATTCCATGCAAATTGGTTTCAAGTAGAACACAAGGTTGACGAAACCTGATGAGCCCCAAGAAGTGCAGAACCGGTCGCAGGCTGTCGACGAATTTCCAACAACCTTATGAGTAGTGCTATACAAAGATCGTTTACGCTCGTCTAGCCTTCTTTGGTGGAGTGAGGGCAGTGCGGTTGTAATGAGTGTCTAGTTTGATGATTTCTACTATGAGTGAAAATGGAGTTTCTTAACGACAATTTCTCTTAGGCCAAACTAAATTCCGTGCTGTTGGAAAGACACATCTGCAGTTGCTTACAGATACTTGAATGAACCGTTCAGTTGCAAAGATGTTCGATTAACCTAAACTGAAGTCTTGTCATTTTTAGGCAATGGTTCGAACCCGGTCACCATCGAAACACGGATCTGAGTTGGACGGAAATTTCCAAGAAACACGGAATTATCATGACGGACTGGAAGGAAACCTACCCCTAGATCATCCGCCCCCAACGGACAACTTGATAATCCCTCCTCCAAATGCATTTGGCAGTGCCAACCACCATTACTCACCGAGCGTTTCCCGACCTAGGGTGGATCTGAGTGTGAGACCAATTTATCGTGGTTCTGATGAGGACGGAGAGAGCCAGACTACACTGTTGTCTCCCAACTATCATCGTCCACCAGAAAACGAGACACAACACAATGCACCTGTGAAACATCCTACACCGGATCAAGCTTTGATTTACACAATGGAGAACCAAAGCAACTATCCACGCTTCACTTCCTTATTGTAAAACAAGAAATTATGTTTGACCGTAACCTGGAGCTATTTTTCTGAAGCTACAATTGAACCTTTAGGATTATTGCGTTCTGTACTATTTGTGGGTTAACATGTAAAAAGTAATGGTGTCTTGCGATTGGTCAAAGACCGTTTATCTTCTATTTTCAGCAACTTTGTTCTTCTCCTCACCGTCAAAACTGAGTCGGTACCCATGCGCATGACAAAAGTGCACCCTCACACTTTCGTCTTCTTGTACATTGCAAAACGTCTGCTTATTTTCTACCTTTTAAAGGAGACCATCATCCTATACACAAAGCACAAACCAAACACTTTTTGCTTGTTCATGAGGCTTGTCTATGAAGAAAGTGTTCCCCAAGAATTTCTCGAAAGTAGTACCATGTTTGGAAGTTCGCCGTTAACGACTCGCCTGTGAGAAGAATGTTGATGTCTGATCATAAACACAGTGACTACCATTCATATTTTCAGCAGTGCAGTACACAGTATCCGGTCTTTATGTATTCCTAGGATGATAAATAGGGCACGTTCGACAAACCTTCTACCACCTAGGGCGCGATGAGTTCTATGGGACCTAGACACTTCGCAGACTTAAGGGCATAATAGAGGCGATAATAATAGACAACATACCGGTGCAGTTTTCTGGCCAACCAATCATTTTGCGGTCAAAAATATTTTGAATTGATTTTTGGGTTATCAGTTGGTATGTGATTGTTCAATTTCGTATTAGTTCCGCTGTCACACTTCTTTTGCATCAGGAATCAATCTAATTTGAGAGTTTTCTTGCAATGGAAACAATAAAAGGGATGGTGGGATATCGGCACACAAGAGTTAGTCTGGATCGCTCAATAGGCGAGTAGTTTTTTTAAAAAATTTGTTCGGATTCCTTTAGGCTCAAATTCACTATGTATATCAGTCAGGACAGGTGGTAGGCACAGAACTAATGGAAAACCACATTTCGTATCGAAGGAACGGGAAACACGGACAAGACTAGGTCAATGCATGTGTAAAAAAGCCGCGTGTGATAAGGTATTCAGCGTATTTTTTCCACTGAGAAGATGAATTTTCGCACGGTTTTTGTGATACATTTTGCAAGTGCACTTCACTTTGTACCTAGAGTGTCAACCTTGGGAATCAGTGTGTCTTCCATAGAGTTTGTGTCCATTTATAGGCATATCACTGTCCAAAATTAAAGTCACCAGTGGAAAATGGTAACGTTTAGGTAAAACAGTGAAAATGAGGCATGCCCATATTAGGAGATCATTATTCTTGCAAGTTTTCTTGTTGATACTTAAAAAAGGACATGCCATAGAATGTCAAATGGCTGTATGTTTTCAGTTGATGGTGCGAAACAACCAGTGTGATGCGAAGACACTTTCAACTGACTGTTTACTCTGTGGATAATCTGAAAAGAAACGTGGCTAAGTACAATAGCAATGCGGAGTTAGTCGTCCAAAAATTTGTAATCTTAATTGGTGCATATCACCAACGTGTTGAGACAACCCACCCATAAAATCGTAGTGAAACAACTAGGCTGTCGGGAGAAAATAAACCACTTTTGTGTTTGTCCTTTCAAGGTGGCCTACTGGCTTAATTTATTGAGAAAGTCGTTGAATTTTCTGTCTTTATGTCATACGTTTCTGAAAGCAACTCCACTGAAAAGCAGAAGCTAAGATACCCGTCCTCCCGTGAAATACAATTACCCACCCGTTTTCGTTTTCATTTGTTATAAATTGTAATAACTTAACTGAGCGGTTAGACAACACAAAAAGAGAGTACTAGAATAAGTTCTCAATTGGATGGTCGCTCGAATGACTGTGTCAATCAAAGATAACCTTGTCTCAGTTAGCCGACAGAAGCCATTCTGTCAACCCTACCGACGAAATTTGCATTATCCGTCGTCTTTCGTACACATCGCCGATGTCCATTTAAACACCTGACTAGACAGTCTTTGAGGCCGTTGCTATAGCAACCCAGTCTAGTGTGACCTGGGCACCATTTGTAAGCGTCCAGATATCTTCAGCATTTGATACATGGTGGACGAGCTTCCCTAGCTTTTATCTGCTGCAGTATGCCGAAATCATGATGCAACATGTGGTTTTCGCTGAGCTTGATATGGATCCCTGTCCTCGATATAAGCGCGAAGGATTAAGACCTGTGGATAAAAATGATGAACGAATTTTGATGTCATGGGTCTGTTGCACAGTTCAAGCAAAGCTCACAATGCAACCAGGAGGTCATCTGGTAGCCCGCGCAATTCATAAGGGACATCTGTTTGTCTGACCTTGGACACAATCCAATCTTGCGCTTTGCACCGTGATCACGTTTTTTTTATATCATGTATTGCTATGAACAATCCAAACAAAGCCTGCCATTGGTGCAACACTTGAGGTTCCCTTGGTTCTGGGTGCCGTTGCTTCACAGGAATTACTACCGATTGATTCACACCAATCCTTCTGTCCATTAAAAGTTCCTAGCCTGTTGGCCAAATTGGAAGCCAATTTCTAGATTTGCCGCTAGTTTTTTGCTGTTTCATCGATTTAGTCTTAAAATAAGTATGGGAATTTACCCTAAAACAATGAGTTCGTCATTTGCTCTTTGAGGAAAATTCTCCGCTTGGGTTTTGCTCTATACTATTTATCGATCACAAAAATGAAGCCTCAAGTGGTGAAATTTCCCTGACGGTGTCACTGGTCAATGTGAATTAATCATCCCCATCCCATATCGTGCTAAAATTTAACCAAGCTCTCCGGACCATCTACATCCTATTTGTTAATATCACTGAGAACTCTTGGTCTCGTTTAAGAATTTTTAAGATGTAAACTTCCGCTGACTTGATTCCACGCTCCATGAAATTTTCAAAAACCAGGTTGCTTCAGACTTGGAGTATTTGATGGACTATAAATGTGCATTGAGAAGGCTTCAGCTCTCTGACAGCATCTTAGCCCATATACAACCATAAACTCATAGCCTGAAGTGTCTCCATTTCACGTCGATCGTCGCGTGGTAACATCAGCACATCCATCTTATTCCCTGCACGCAACAAGACGCATTAACGACCACTGCCACCCAGCGTCTTTCTTCTTGTTATCTCTTAACTTTTACCCTATTTCACGTGATGATCTCTCTCATATAGATCCAAGCTTTGGGCACGTTAATGAGGCGTCTACGAATTCAACATATTGCACGCCGCTACCCTTATATACCACCCGGCGTCCTCCAATTAGCTCCGGTTCAGCTGGCGCGAGGATTTCTATGCAATTAGGCAAACAGAATGTTCCAGCTTTATCGATTGACATCAATCTCCCCATTGAAACTCGAATACGGGCACAGGTAGTGAACTTACGGCATACCACCTACCTAGACGCTACAAAATATAGATTTCGAACGATATTACAGATAGTGCAGTTGGTTGGGCCTGATATGGTGAAGCCCTAAATTCGCGAACTCACGTGTCATTGCTAAGTGGATCACTGTGAATAGCTGACTTCGTGATATCTGACTTTTCACTGCGATACAAACTCCCATTGGTAGGAATCGCGAACGGGGCTTGTTTGTCGTGTGCATTTACGCACCAACTCACTGTAGCTATGACTGACCTAAAGATGTCTCAATCAGGCATAAACAGCTCGAATTTAGCCATAATGTCACGAGACTTCAATGCACGGTTTTGACGCATCAGAAGTTCATCATCAGTTCAATACGACTGCAACCATTACGATCATGATGAAATTGTTTTACAAATCTGTACAGATCGCCGGTTGCTTTCCAACAGTATTGGGTTTAGACCCAGTGGGTATCGCTGGTCTGCCTGGCATTTCCTTATCAACTTGAAGTCAAACTGACCAATTTGTCAGCATCTACTGATAAACAGGTTCAACTGTTGACTGCAGATAACTTTAGAATTCACGGCTCCATTCATATCATACCTTCATCAGGTGTAAATTTTTACTCCATTTCCCTAGTAAGTCCTAAAAGTAAACTCCCCATTTCGTAGTAGAAAGCCTCTGTGAGCCACATGTCAGAGTGTCATAAGCTTTTCCGCAATACACCACATGTGGTATCCTCGAATTATACCCATACTTAATGGGACGAGATAACAACATGAACCCTGTATACGGTGTTTCCAAGTGTATACACGAAAGCCACTATGTCTAATTAGGGTGAGACAACACCTCAAATAGACTGTGAGCATACGGAAAGGAGTGGCATAGTGGGAACGTCAGAGGAACAAGCAGGACCTAGAATATTCCTCTGAAGTTAGTTAACCAAACATAATATTGAAAACCTAGTACATAATATACATCTAGGTTGATAGGTGAACTTCAACAAGCATCTAGCTGGCACCGTACACCTGTGTCTATGCATTTCAGTCAACCCACCCATTTTGGGCACAGTTTTTAAGTTTAGATCCTCCATCAGTTTCCCAAGTCCCTATGACCGCTTCAAACCTGAAATGGCAGTGGGATGTTGGTCCATATGAGCTCCTTCAAGCGTTATTCAAAGATGGAAAGCATTCTCTGTATTTTACCTTGACTAGAGTGCTTGCACTCATAAGTCTAATAAGTCGTAAGTCCAATATATAACCCTGTATGTCCCGTCGTAGCAGCTACGTATTCCATTACATCGCGACGCCTATCTACGGCTTGTGAGAATAGGAGTCCGAGAGCATCTGTTTGGAGCTCAATTTGGTTGAGTTGGATTTAGCATATCTTTACATCTCATCGGGTGGTTTTCCAACTCCACACGTACCGTTGACTAACAACCACCATTTTCTTTGACTTCGGAGAAGCCTTCGAGTTTGTGGATAGACTGGCTGTTGTAAATATACTTTGCCAAAGGAAGGCGTCTTTGAAGTTCGTATTGTGTCATGTACTTCTACGCATCCGGTCGCGTAGAGGTGTACAATAAATGTGGTGAAAGCTTCCTTATCACCGGTGCAGTTCGTCTGAACTCTCTCTCCCTCTCTCTATATATTTTTGCTCAGCGTATCACCGACGCTATCATGAAGTGCACCACTCAAGAGACCTTGGCCGAAGTCTTGGCTGGGAACGGAGTTAATGGAACCGGATAAAGCGAAGAGCAGCGTTTTGCTGTTTGACGATCACCCGTCATGCAGTATACCTTAAACACAATAACAGAAGTGGAACAGGGATTTCATATGCATTTCGCGCCGTTTGGCACCAAAATTTCTCTTCATCTTTTGCCTTTTGTGGACTTTAAAATGAAGAATTAGGTTTACTGGCTAGTTTAAACATCTTGAAAGTCGCATGTACCGTGAGTGTACTTTGGCAAATGCTTCGCGGATAACGAATACGATGTTAGCCAGCGTCGTCAGCTGACGTCATTTATGATGTCAGAAGGTAATTTTTAACATATAAATTGGCCATGTATATGGGAAATTTTAACAGTGGTCGTGAGAATCGGTTTCTTCTTGGAAGTATTCACA